CTATATTCCGTTGTTCCTCATTCAGTCTCCTTCCCACGGAGGACCAATGCACATAATTTTCCCAAAGCACTGGGAGATTCAGGGCAAGAATGCACAGAAAAACAAGAGAAAAACAAATACAGTTCACAGAAGCTAAGAAAGGTCGAATGACGATCTCGTCTTCTCTTGCATGAGAATTTTGTAGGTGACCATTCTAAGCATGACCATAACTAGGATATTCGCTGTTCTCAGATTTTCTGACTCTTTAAGCTTATGCCATTGCTATCAATTGCCAACTATGAAATGTAGATAGATAGATGATAGATAGATAGATAGATAGATGATAGATAGATAGATAGATAGATAGATAGATAGATAGATAGATAGATAAAGAGTCAATCCTAAGTCAAGATACTCAAACGAGGAAATCTGCTTGAAATCAACCTCCATGTTCTTTACATGGATGGGAGATTGGATGACTTTTAGCCCAGTCTAGTCTGATATCTGTTGCCATGGAAGCAACTTTGTATGATGCATATGCACTCATCTATGAAACTATCTATGTCTGCTTCCTGTTGAGAAAAGAGCTATGGGAGTGGCTGGCACCGTAATGGCAGTGCCCTGGCTATTACCTCAGCTCCATTTGTCATTATTAAATCTTATTTTAGCCATGTCCTGCATTCACTACCTACCCTAGATCATAACCACGGTTAGGTCAAAGGTGGTTCCATCTGCCCTTCGCTCTGATTCTGCCCTCTTCACCTCTTCCCATCCATATCTCAAGACTGAGAGTACAGTGCAGAGGTCTCACTGACATCTAATAAGTGAGAACTAATGAATCAAAAAACCCAAGCCACCTGATCCCTGGGTCTTAAGGGAAAATACAGGGCTTGAGCTGGATATGTGGCCATTCCCTTTCCTATTAATTTCCGCAGCTCCTCTGTGAGTTACGCTCTGTCTGCTCCAGTGGGATGACACACACGTGACAGATGGCACTCTCGTGGCCAAGGAGTTTATTCTGCACCACAGCAAGGGTACATTTTTTGCTATAAAACTCTTATAAATCAATGCTATGTATTTTTGGCAGGAATATTGTGACACGAGAGACATAAATACTATTTGATGCATGTAAACAGTTGAAATTTGGGTATAATAAGAGTAGAGATTCATATAGATCAGTAAACCATAAATACATATATCATTTGGAGATTTTGATATAAGTATACAGCAGTAATAAGTAGAGCTTATTTTGGCTTTTTAAAAAATAAAGCTTTTTATCTGATGGAAGACTATATATATTTAAATTGAAATTTTTAAATTTCATGTATCAAAAGCATTTTAATGGCTCGACATGGAAACTGCTATGATCATCTAAGGAAAATGATTGTAGCTATATTAGAACAAGCATAAATTTACTTATCAATAAATCGACAAGTTAAAAGAATATGACTAAGATAAATATGGAAATAACCAGGGAAAGCCTATCTACATTACAATGGCAATGAGCTTAAATTAGAAAGAAAATAAATACTCACAGAAAAGCTGAAGACTGTGATACTTATACTACTAGAAATGCAACTAGTGTTCAGCATGCCAGTTTTGTGGAAATCTTGTATCTTTGAATAGTAGAAAATATGGTGACCTTTAAAATGTTTTCTTTCATATTTTGAAAAGGTTTTCCTTATTGTAAATCATACCTATTCATCATGGAACATACGTATGTATATATGTTACAGTAAAGTTAAATGATCATCCATAATCATCTTTAGTCCAGAAAAGTATTTATATCATAAACATAGATTTAATTGTTACTTAATAAATTGAAAACCATTCAGGATTCAACTCATTTCCTTATTAAAATGAAATCATTCAATTCAATTAAAAAAATTTTTATACTGCTATAAAGGCCTATAATAAAATCAAACCCTGGATCATCTCGTCTGGCATTTTTAGCAATTCTTTTTTTTTTTTTAAGATTTTATTTATTTATCTTTAGAGGGGAAGGGAAGGAGAGAGGGAGAGAAACATCAATGTATGGTTGCCTTTCGTGCGTCCCCTGCTGGGAACTGGCCTGCAGGGAACCTGCCTGCAACCCTGGCATGTGCCCTGACTGGGAATCGAACCGCGATTGTCTGGTTCGCAGGCCCGCGCTCAATCCACTGAGCTACACCAGCCAGGGCTTTAACAATTCTTAAATAACCTCCTTAAGGGGTGTTAAGCCTTTCTCGTGACCACTTCAGTGACAGGGACATCAGTTTGCCGGGGAACCTCTTCAATCGCTCGAATGTTCTAATTATGGGAAGTCCTCCCGATCCTCAGTTTTGTCCACCTCCTTTAACTCTCCCTGGAATAGCACTGGGTTTGGAATTCATTTCAAGTTTCCCCCATCCTTTAGCACCCTAACCATAACTAAATCACGTGACTTTACTACACAAACTTTATCTATAAAGTTAGGCTGATAATATTTACCCTATTTTCTTCTTGGGTTGTTTAAAGATTCAAATTAGGAAAGGACCATACATCTGAAGCATATATAGGTGGTAAACACATTTCCTCTTCCACATTTATTATTTGAAAAGTGTTATCATCTCCATCCCAAGTCCCTTCTGAAAGACAAACCGCCCAATTCTCTCCACCATCTCTTATAAAAATTACGATATTCAGGATCATTGTCTTATCTCCTCTTTTGGATACACACCCATTCACAAGTGTCTTCTGTGAACAGCACCACACTGAATGAGACAGGATGATTCTGATGCAGCTGAAGGTGGGAATAAAAATAGGATCGTTCTGCCACTGATTTGCAGGGCAGCCCGGGACTGTGCATGCTGCAATGAGAACATTTTTCTTACTACCACTATTGACGGCATCATGAAGGGCTAACTGAACTACAGCGTTTGAGAGATGTCTTTGGGAAAAAAAACTTTTTAAAGTTAACAAAATAATCAAAAGGATAATGACAGAAGAATACATTCTAATGCTCATTTTCTCCTTAATCACACAACTGATTGAGTACCAGAGGTAACTCCTATTCATCCAGTTTTGTCTTCATTAACTGGAGGAAAGAGGGCTTGAATTATTGCCTTAAATGAAGTTAAAGATTTATCTGTGACTTTAAATTATCCAAGATTTTAGTTACACTGTCTCTCTAGTGATATAAAGAGCTATAATGAGCCCCCAAAATAACAAGATGAAAATACATCCACCTGCTTGTTTTCATCACTCTTATTTCCTAGAAAGGCAATTCTAAGAAAGTACAAATTACTGACCTTTTAACTGAACAAACAACCTGTCTTGGAATAAGATGTAAAATGAATATTTATCACTTTGGTCAGATGAGTTCATGAATTTTAGGTCTCTCAGAATCTGCTTGTATTAACACCACTTTTATTTTAGTTGAATAGTTTGTGTAGAAAGGTAATCTCAGAAAAAGATAAGAAGGAAAACAGTCACCCAACCTCCCAGCTCTGTTTGCTATCTGCCTTCATAATCTAAGGCAAGTCACTTTATCATTCTCTAACTCTGTTTCTCTACCTGGAATAGCTGTGTCTCCTTTTTTTCTAAGACTGTGAAGACCTTTAAAGGAAATGCACTCCACACATTCGAGGATTTATGAGCATGCTATTTTTTTTAACTGCTTACCTAAAGAAAGGGGGTGGATTGGAATTGGTAAAATACTAAGGATATGCCATTTGAAGTGGGATTTTAGTTGGCAGAAACCAGCAGCCAAATGTGGTTTTGTTGTGCATTTCTGTTGTCAATTTCAGTTGCTTTCAGGTTGGCCCGTTCTGAAAATAGGTTTCATTTCAGAATTCCTGGAATGTGCCGAAGTAAGAAAAACAAGCAGGTAGTCTGTTTGGCGATAATACATTTCAAAAACGACCTATTTTTGTCCTGTGATTTCGGGACAAAATATATGATGAGTTGAACTGGAGCCAGGATATCAAATACCAAAGAACATACAAATGGAATAATATTGGGGAAATTTTTTTTCAAGTCAAAAATCAAAGTAGAGATCAGTGATTTCAGAAGCATTGACTTCTTGTCAAGAATAACTGTCATTACAATTTCCACAGGCGCCAGTGAACATGATTTGGGGGGAATGACTAAAGAAGGATCTGTCTTATAAAACACGGGAAAATGTCATTTTATTCCCAATTTTCCCAGTCAAGTTTGTAGGATGGAAGATTTTTCTTGGGTTCTTTTTCGGAGGGGCCAATATGTCTCTATTGACATATACAGATGAAAATTTTTAACCCAGGAAACTTTATCGGTCTTCTTCGGCTAGTGAATCACACCAAGAGAGCCTCAGTGTTCAGACTACCAATGGGGAGAAGACCAAAAAAATGATGAAAAGAGGAGCCTTCTGATATTAACACCCGAAGCCCACGCAGCCCAAGGATTGGTCTGACGTCATTGTTCCCGGTTCTCTGGATGCTGGAGTCTGAATTGCATTAGAGATCTCTGCATTCAATAAACAAAAATAGGAATATGACGACTAAAGCGCTGTTTGGAACAGAAAACAAACTCAGGCAATGAGTGTTTTCCACTGAATTCATTCAAGATTTTATTAGTTGAGCTCTAACTTAGGTTATAAGGCTCAGCTTGCTTTTAATTTCACTGGCCTCAGTTATTCAAAACAATAGGAGCAGAGGGAGGGATAGACAGAGACGGAGAGAGAGAGAGTGCAGACTATCACACACATGCTTGGTACATTCTTCACATTGCAAACCCATCAACAAAAGAAGGAAGAAGATCTGAGGCAAATGAGTGGTTTTTGTGGATTGAGGGGATGGAGAATTTCTCTACATAAACAAGAAGCTTTGGATTGGAAGGCTGCTTAAAAAAAAAAAAAAGGTTACAGCTGACCACAGGGTTGTAAATCCACAGGCTGGAAGGAGGAAAAGAGAAACATTGCAAGCGACTGAAGTGTGTGTGGCTACGATGTTTGTGGGTTAGATGAGAAACAAGCGCTGAGTGAAACGGAGAAGGGGGGTGGCGGGTGTGATTTGTTTGGTGTTCAGAGCCAATAGAAATCCCAGACTGTGATAATATCCCCGTGCAGCGCCGAGAGAGGAGCCACAGCTGAGTCTGCGGCTGGGTTCCCGGTGCAGGCCCTGCCGCCGACCGCCCGGGGCTGCTGCACACGCCAGCGCGCGGCGCTTCTGCGCTTCTGCGCTTCTGCGCTTCTGCTGGGGTCCGGCTGTCGCGGACTGTAGCGCCCAGAGAAAGAGGGACGGGGAGAGACAGAGAGAAGGGACCCGAGGAGGCGGCTTCCATCACGTCATTGCAGGTATGAGCTTGCCGCGACTAATGTGACACAGGCAGGGTTTCTGATTTCCACCTTCCCAAGACACTTACGGAGTAATTGACATTGTTCCCTTGCCGGTCTGAATGGAAAGTGCGGAGTGAATGTGTCGCCGGAGTCCGAAAATTCAGGCTGTTTGCCTTGCGTTTTGAGGCTACAAGGTTTATTCACCTTTGGAATCATCCGTGGGGGTAAAGCAAGGACCTTCAAACTTGACCGTGCTCTCTTGGCTTTTTCTTTTCTTTTCTTCTTTTAATAACCTCAGTACCTGCATGCTGTCATGCTGTCCATTTATACCTCTTGGTGACCTCCTTTATCGTTGTGACCTATAGCAAGGCAAACACCACACGATTGTTAGAAAGCAGCTGTGAACATTTCCCACCTACCTACCAGGTGAATATCCTCCCCATAAGTATGGAAACAAGGGTGGATTTGGACATGGCTTTGATCTTTACAGCTTCAGGCCAAGGTGGAGGAGGCTTATGAGGGACATGTCACTGTATTGCTATGCTATCTATGCTTTAAGCAGAGGAGGAGAAAAGGGGGAGAGATTTTTTAAATGTAACTGTCAGGGATCCTCGCTGTGTACCTGCTTTATTTTCCCTGTTGCCTTAGGAGTTGAAAATGCTGTTGTAATTTTGCACCAACAGGCTGGGTGAGTTCCAGGACCTCCTGTGCAATGACACTGAAAAATTGTGAATTGGAATCCTGTCATAAACATACCTGTGAGGAAATGTTAGTTTGGGGGTTGATTTTTGTTTGATCCTGAATTCGGTAGACATCTGGGCATTTTTTCTTCTCCTTTCTTGATTCCTTTTATTTTTGAGACACCAGTTTTATTATTTTTTTTAAATCCATCTCCTGAGATTTGGCCGTGTTTGGTTTTAAATTTTGAAGATGGTTATATAACTTTTTGTCCCCCTCCCCCCCGTTGATTACTTGTGATTAAATTAACATCACTTAATGAGTTCAGTCTTTCCCTTGGAAAAGCCAGAGGGGGACGAGTGAAGGCTCAGTTCACAGATTAGTCTTGCTTTGGGTGACCCTCAAGAGCTAGCGTCTAACTGCTCTGAATTTCTGTAGGAAGAGCTTTCCTTGCAGTGAGGAACAGACACAGATCAGGACTCAACAAGAGTGTGACACTGCAGCAGGTGCAGGCGCAATAGAATATGTTATCTTAAGTCTAAACAGCATCCTGTCCGTAGATTCGTAGTAGGTCATATCCAAACCATCCCCCGATAACTCACAAGCAGTCCCGCAGTCCTGCCTGGTTTACAGGGTGGTGCTTATCCCAAAGCACATGCCTCGCCAAGGAAGATAAGGAATTTCTAAGAAAGGTATTTGTTTTCCATATCACAGTGGAGAACATCTACATTGTCCCAGTTTTAATTGGATGAACGAGTTCTTCTGTCATTAAAGGAAATTCATGCTTAGCTATACCATAGAGGAATAATATAAATAGTGTAAACTATCTGCATTTTTGTCCAATTCCCAGATTTGAATGATTTAGAAGGTGATTTTGAAAGCATCTCAAAAGAATAGATATGGCAACTAAACATTATATTTAGGAGAGAGCATTTTGATTTTATGAATGAATATTTTTCTCTTTCTACACCACAAGGAATTTTCTGTAAAGAATTTACCTATTCAAAGAAATACATATTAATTGAACCAACTAAATATTATTTGGAGTTAATAGGGTAGCTTTGTATCACTGTAAACATTCATCCATTTTGTATAAATATAATATCTGAAGTAAATGGAGACCCACTTCCCTCTTACCACTCAAACTCTGAAATGATGTTGGGTGTGTTGGTAGCAACTGAGTGAATGAGAGGCTGAATATGCAGACTTTGTATGGACTGAGAGCCATCAATGGATTTTTACAGATAAATACAAGCCATGCTTTGATTACTCATTGTTTTGTGCTGTCATTCTTCACTGAGAAAGGAAATCAAACATTCTTAGTACAGCCAACCAAAACTTTGGACGCCCTCAAGTTATAAGTCGGCTAACGTCGGAACAAGGTACAGGCTCTTAAGTCTCTTTAAAGCAGGCAACTCTTCCTTAGCCATCTTCTTCTAAAGCAAAGGAATGGAATAAGACTTTGAGTTGTCACTGATATGCAGAGGACTGGCCTGCCTGGGTCAAGGGCACACATGGAGAGACTGCAGCAACACAAGTGCAGGAAAACATTAAACCAGCCCCCTGTTGGACTGGGGTGTAGCCACAGTTAGCAGGCCAGGTGGCAGGCATTGTCTCAGTGTCAGGGACCTTTAAGTACTTAGGAGAAAAGCAACAAATTATTTAAACTGGGGAAATGTGCTGAGTATTGGACTTGGAACAAGCTACACAAAGAACCGATAAAGGAGACATGTTGATTTGAAGGGGAAAGTATGCAGTTATAAATTAAGCCTCTGGTGCCAGCTGCGTCTGTAGTTGTGTAGGTATTTCCACCCCAGCATTCTGGGTTTTGTTTGTTTGTTTTTATAAATTGGACATGCTGACGTATGGTGGGTAGAATCAATTATGATCACATGTCAGGCTAAAATAGGGTCCTCAAACCATGAATCTAAATGCAGATATTTCCTATTGGCACCACTTCTAGTTGGGAAGACGGCTTTGATTGGTCTGCTCGGCCACAGGGCCCGGCTGGAGCACCCTGCTCTGCAGAGTCCCAGAGCCATGCGACCGTCAGGAAATAAACAGTGACAGGATGAAATGACAGGTATACGAAGTGAGATGATGCAGAGATTGGCATTCTTTAACATAATTCCAGGAGCCAAAGGAATAAAAGTTTATTCCCTCAGATAAACTCCAACTGTAAATTTATGGTAAGTTTTCCTGAGCATTTGAAACCGATTCTCAAGCATACACGCGCAGCTCTTGCAGGTGTGGGGCGAAAATAAATTCGGTCGACGTGCAGTGAACAGTCCTATGTATACCGGCCAGCAGAGGGCAGTATGCAAGCTCTGAAAAAAAAAAAAAACGATGCCTCCTCTTGACCAGCGGGAGACTTCGGTCTCCAAATGGCTACAAAAATGTGTCCCTAACTTCATGCACCTTCCTCCCTCTGTAAGCAGAGTCTGGAGTTATTAAGGAATCTGCTGCTCAGAGAGGTTTGTTTTTATTTTTTACCTCTACACATGGCATCGCCTGGCAAGATAAGGAAATCAGCCTTTTGAACAGAGAGCTCAACTTCCCTTTCTTTTAATTAGCTTCACTCTTTGAAGCCACTCAAGCAGTCTTGTTTTCCTTTTTAATTTTAAATTTGTTTTAGAGAGGAAAGGAAGGGGAAAGGGAGAGAGAGAAACACAGAGTGGCAGAGAGACAGAAAGAAACATTGATTTGTTGTTCACTTATTTATGCGTTCACTGGTTGACTGTTGCATGTGCCCTGACTGGGAATGAGACCCACAGCCTGGGTGTATTGGGTCCATGCTCCTAACCACTTAGCTACCCGGGCAGGGCCACTCAAGCGATCTTTATCTTTACTCTGTCAGGAATTGGGTGGAAGAAAGGGAAGCAGGATCCGGAGGAAAGAGGGAAAGAAAGAGTGGGGTTTCTTGAGTTCGTTTTCCAGGGAAAATGTGTACCAGCTGTTTCATGAATAGACCTAGTTTCCATTTTCAGCATGTCTTAAATATAAGCTCTGGGCCACACAGATACAGGTTGAGCACTGACAGTCAATAGGGCCTCCAGCATCCGAGCAGAAGAGCTGAAATAGCTTCTCTTAGTGGTATCAAGGATCTAACACATGTGCTCACAAACGAAAACTGTCCATCTGCCCCCCGGAGGTTGAGAGGTGGTCAGATCTAGTCCATCATAAACCTAGCCCAACCTTTTTTAATAGGTGTCTCCTTGCCCTGCTGGTACCGTTACAGACCCGTCCTATTCTAAAGTCACACTATAAATGTGACTAGAGGAAAGAACTGATCACTCTCAAAGTGGGCTGTGACCAGCAGTGGTATATCTGTATAATTAATTCTAATTTAGCTAGGTTGGCACTCTTACCCTAAGGACACTCGAACGTCACACAAGTCGCTCCTAATCAGGAGGGCCCTAGGAGAAAGCTCAGACGGGGGCTTTTACTCTGAGTGCCAGAGTAGACGCATCCTGGGTGAAAAAGCTAAGAGACGGAAGGGCCACGGTCTGGGGATTAGCGCCTTGGGGAGGGGGAGCCATGACCGCTGACTCAAGAAAGACTGATTCTGAGGCTCCTGGAGCCGTGGATCCTGGAAGGACCCCAGCCTGCCCACCTCAGGCCCAGGAGTCTGTGCGCATGAATGAGGCCTAGGATACTGAGATCGCCACTTCTCTGTGGTGCCACTGTACTCTGCTAGGGGATGTGATGGCCTTGAATCTAAGCAAAGAGTTTTCTCAAGGACAAAGTAAATATTTCTCGGTGTTGGGAGAGAAGGGAGGGTATTGTGTTGTCTTCCCCACTCTTAGCCAGATTAGCCTCTGGGGCTCTTTGTTTACTGTCTAGCTCTTTATAGTGCGGTGGTGTTGGAAAGCTTGGGTGCGAGGGGAAGATTCATCCAGGGTCACTATGGAACGAGACACAATACTGCAGTAGCAAGGTGTTCGCTAATAAAAAAGAGAAATAAATCCTGGAGGCTGAGATGGGGGGGATGGGTAATAAGATCGATCCCCAAAGTCTAAGACCAAGAATCTCCCCTGTTGTTTTTCAGTCTTTAGCACGGCGCTTCCCAGATGAGCTCTAGGTTCCATCCCTCTTTTCTAGATTCCTTTCCAATAAAGAAATCTCAAGGCCGATGGGGAATTCTCTCTGAAGGCCTTAACCTGTTGAGAGTCCAAGCACAGTAAGTAAATCATAGTCCTCCGCAGACACGATGACCTGCACAGGAAGCCATACTTGAGGATATGTTACACTGAGAAAACCTTTCTGAATTATGAACACAAGGGCATCGGACACAAAGGAAATACATGATTTATGGAAAACCTCTCCTAGGAGAGTTTTTG